ATAAGGAAATATTGAGACACTTCGGATGGTATATATGACAATAGGCCTGCCGTGGTCTCAAATCCGCGACGTTCAATAGGATGTCGAGTAGAAGTTTGTCTATGGAAGGTGTACACTGTTACGTAACTCAATTCGAATGTCGCTATCTGCTCTGCTATCTGCTGCGATGCTAGTGTGCACATGGGTTTACTCCAAACTGCAAACACCGTCCACAGAGGTCACATATAAGCCGGAGATCCTAACTTGGATGCCCACGTCCATCATGCCCCGCCAGCCGACTGTCAACGAAATTCGCCTCAACCACATCAGAACTTGTTTAACACTTGCCCTGTCACTTCTCAATGAGCTGCATGATGCATTTGGGCCTCCATTTATTCAATCCATCATCAACACCATCCAAACCTTGGTCAATGCAATCCAGGTATATTTTACGGATTCCTGCAATGTAACTACTCAGCTGTCGTAGATTGTAAAACAGAATAAGAGTGATTGTGTTCGGCTTATGGAAAACATCCACGGATTCCTCTACGCCATCGTGGAGCTGCATATGACATCGGAGCCAATTGGGTCTCTCCCTCTATTGATGCTAGATAACATCGGGAATTTTGTGGAGTTGGTTTTGTTCAACTGGGATTGAATTTTTGACTGAATCCGTGGATGCAGAACTCTTCACAAGATATACACATTTGTTAAAGCACAACAGCAGGGGACCAAGATCAAATACCTGTTCCGAAGCAATGAGATGAGCAAATTACTGAAGGAATGTCATGCTGGACTGGAGCAAGCTCAAGAGGTCTTCAGGGTATAGTCTATTATCTATTCTTCAACAGTGGGTTGACATGATCACCTAGATTCAAACACAGGCCCAAGTGTTGAATGACATCAGCGACTTCAAAAAGTCGGCAGACCTGATGCACAAGGAATTGCTGGAGTTGATTGAACCACTTTCAGACACCAATACAATGTCAGACAGGTCATCGGTGGGCACATCACTACCACCTGTTACATTTGCCTCATTCAAACAGGGCTATCTGGGTCGCAATGATTCCAAAAATAGGTGGATGATTAGTTCCATAGTTCAACCATTTCCTTACATCTTTTGTTCCAGCTCAAATTCATTTTCAATGCTCCCCTCCAAGCCTAAGATCTTCCATGGTCGTGAACATGAGATGGATCATATTCTCAGATCGCTCAACCAGGAGTCACCAAGAATAGCCATCCTGGGAGGTGGTGGAATGGGCAAAACAAGTCTGGCAAGAGCTGTGCTTCATCATTCAGATATCTCTTCAAAATTTCAAGCCCGATTCTTCGTCAGTGCTGAAGCTGCAACCACCAGTGCTGAACTTGCAGCACTTCTTGGATTACATCTGGGTTTGAATCCAGGAAAAGATCTCACAAAGCCTGTTGTTCAGTATTTCTCAAAGAAAAAGACCTCTCTGTTGATTTGGACAATCTGGAGACAGTTTGGGAACCAATTAAGTCTCGAGCTGGGATTGAAGAATTTCTTTCCCTCCTCACAGAGATAGAACACCTTGCATTGATAGTATGGCTACACCACTGCAGTTATCCTTCACTGATTCCTTCCAGATCACAATGCGAGGTGCTGAGAGGCCTGCCAAAGTTAAATGGAGCCATCCTTTTTTGGTGCCCTTGCAACCTTTGTCGACTGATGCTGCAAGACAAACCTTTATAGAAATTACTGACAATTCCAACACAATTGAGGAGAAAACAGAGAAAACCTCTGTGTTGTCTGTGGGCTTTGACCGACAATCAAATGTGGAGGCATCCATCGGTCTCTCGCTTTCAAGTCCCCGAATCACTTCTGATAGCAAAGAATTATTAAGTCTCCTCTCAATTCTCCCAAATGGACTCTCTGAGGAAGAACTTGTGGAGAGCAATCTGGGCATTCCCAATATCCTCAGTTGCAAGGCTGCTCTCCAGGCCACTTCATTGACTTATTGGGACATAAATCAGCGGCTGAAGCTGCTAGTACCCATTCGAGAATATATTCAGCAGATCTTGCCTCCTTCCATTTCCTGCATACAACTCAGCTGCAAGTACTTTTATCTGCTTCTGGAGTTATTCATGAAATACGATGGAGAACAGATGAAACCTGTGGTCAATCAAATAACGTTGAACCTGGCAAATGTGCATGAGCTCTTGCGTCAGGGATTGCATCTGCAGTCCCCGACTCTGGCAGATACAATTTGTTGTGCAATATCTGTAAATGTATTTTACAGGATCACAGGACATGATCATCCCCCACTGATGGATGATCTTCATGCTCCTTTGTCTCAACTCTGTGATCACCAGCTTGAAACTATGTTTATCACTGAACTTCTCTGCACCCAACATTACTCCATCAGTGTGTCAGAAGAGGCAATGGCTCAAGTTATGCTGAATCTTGATAATACAAAAGATCCTGTTCTTAGCAGTAAGTCACACCTATCACCTGAGTAATTCTGTGTCTCATATGATGTTCCATCATGATAGTCAACTTCTATTGCAATTTAGGATGGCACCTTATTTGCCTTAAAGGTGATTTACAACGAGGCACACAATTTCTCAATAAGGCACTGGAAATGTCTCAGCTGTGTGAGAACAAGAATCGCCAGGTGCGTGTTTTGCTAGCACTTGGTTGGACCAAAGTGAACAGCAGCGACTACCATGCTGGACATACATATGCATCTGTGGCACTAAGGTTATCTAAGCTATCACCAGATTTATATCAAACAGCCAGGGCCCATCAGCTTGCAGCTACCTGTTTGCGATACCAAGGCAGCCACCAGGAGAGTGCTGGACAACTACATAGCGCTACAGAACTTCTTCATGTCTGTGGTATGTCTGGCGGGATAGTTGCCCATCAAATCACAGGGGCCCAGGGAGAGATCCATCTCTTGAAATCAGAATATAAGGAGGCTAGAAATATCTACTGTCAAATTGTTGAAACCACTTCTATGGAGCAAAATTCTGATTCTCATGCATTTGCACTCCTCAATATTGGACTCATTGACACAATGATTGGTGGAGCTGAGGAAAATATTTACCACAACTTGAAAACAGCCAAAGGAATCTTTGGAAGGGAGACTGTTCCTGGCATCATCTGTGATTTTGCACAGGCAACTATGGAACACAAAGAGGGGAAATTTGATTTGGCAGAGGTGAAGTTCCAGGAATGTCTCTCATTGTCATGGGGAAAGGACTGTCAAGTGGTGTCTTTCTGCTTGGAACAATTGGCTAATATCTGGGCCTGGCCAGTCAGCAGAAGACAACCTAAATGGGCAATAATATACTTAGGGTTTGCCTGGAAATTCAAACAGATGCTGGCACTTCACAAGGCACTCCTCTTTCTTGGAGATGTACTCATTGCTCACAATGATGAAGGGACAGCAGCCAATGTCTATCAAGTTGCTCTGGAAGGATTCACCAGAATGGATGTGCATCGAAGTAGAGCACAATGCATGCTACATCTCGGGGATCTTGCCAACAAACATGGACATATCTCGGAGGCAATCACATTGTGGACAGCTGCTCGCCGGCTGTTTGAGCGGTCATTGCAGACTAAAGACGTGACTGACATTGACTCCAGGCTTGGAACCTGTGAAAATGCTCATCAGCAAGCTCTGATAAAACTTACTCTGTGTCCACCTCTTGAGTTGGTGAAGGACAAAAGCTCCGGGAATGAAGGCAAAGATTCTGTTGATTAAGATGCTGAGAAACCCATATTCCCTGTTCCAGTGTGAGAACATCCCTGCTGACAATAAAGCATGAAATCAATTTTCTTCTCCGGATCCACGCTCATTAACGTGCTAGTGTCTGTTGAACTCATTTATTTATTTAAATCCCAATCATCCTGTTAGCCTGTTACATATGTTGAATATGGGCCTTGTCCTGTATCTATTTGTTTGTGGAATAAATAATCTTATTTATGTATCTGTTCTCAGTCTCAAGGCTCCCCACACAGCTGCTAGACAGTGTGCCTGGCCACTGTGACTCCTGTGAAAGAGGATCATTTCTTTTTGTCCTCAGTTTTCACCCCTGTATTCTATTGCCCACACGCACTTTGAATGCCTGAAACTATTTGCAAGGTGTCTCCCCAATTTACAATGTGCTTGACATGGCGGTGTCGACGTCGATTACTGATGCTTTCTTCCATTTTTCCCTGTTCTTTGTGTAGTTGAACTCATTTCTTAGAGTTGATCTGACTTTCACGTTGTGTTGAGGAACAAATATTCTGGCATTGGTTCGACATTAAGTAATGGTCACTTTTTTTGGTTTGGGTTTGCGTTCGGCATCAAGAAAACGATGTCTACATCCGTTGTGGGGATTGTGCTACACAGGTGACACAGGCTGGCTGAAAGGAAAAACGAGGAGAGAAATGGAGAAGAGAAAGATGAAGCTATACTGGGAAATTAACCAGTATTCACTGCCCACCGATATACACCTAGTAAGACCTGGTGATGGATGGTCCACCTCCGAGTCGTTCATGTCTCGTGTAAATGCGCTTGATGAAAGCAGGAGTCCGTCATTCAATTTGAGGTCAGGTCATTTTTCGGCTTAGTATATGTCTTTTTGCGTCTCCCCTCCACCCAGTCAGACTTTTTTGGGTTGGGTTTGTGTTTCGCATCGAGAAAATGATGTCTATGTTTTGAAGGTTGTCGTACAGGTTACTCGGGAAAAAACCGGCAGCCGAAGGGAAAGAATTGAGAAGGGAAAGAGGTTCAGCCGAAACTTAACTTGCAGGAGATCAATAAATTGGAGTGCGGACTTGCAACTACGAAGATTTGGTAACGGCAGGACACCTTTATTTGCGTCTACCCCTGGTTCGAGTCAAACCTTTTTGGTTTGGGTTTGCGTCTTGAGTTGACAAAATAATCTCTATGTTTTGGATTGATGTAAGGAGGACTCAGAAGAAACAGGGTGGCTGAAAGAAGAGAATTGAGAAGAGAAAGAGAGAGGCTCAACTGAGTATAAACTGCCCACCAATTTAAGTGGAGCAAGACCTGGTGGTGGATGGTCCACACCTGCTTCATGTGGGCAACCCATGGTTTGAAATTGAGGATACGCAGGAGTCCCCCGTTCGATTTGGGGTCAGGTCATCTCTTTGAACGAGACCTATTTTACCTCCACAGTCGAACTTTTTTAGTTTGGGTTTGCGCTGGGAAAAATAATATCTACAACTTAGATTGAAGAAATAATATGTCCTTCGTCGCAACATAGTTGACTCAACGGGGGCAGATCTGGGGCAAGACATTCTTCGGTACAGAGGAACGAGACTTAGGGCTCAAGTTCGGGAATGATAAATGAGGATCACTTGAAGCAATGCACCCCATCCTATGTATGTACGTCTTCAGGGACGGATGTGGACAGGCGGTATGAACGTTCGCTTGATTGAAGGCCAGGGCAGGGAGTGAAATAGTAGATACGCACTATCCGCACTTGATGGCTCTGCACCCCGAGCAAGGAAGGGCGCGCACTCGAATGAATCTGGCAAGAGGGGCAGGGAGCTTGCGGTGCAGGGTTCGGAAACCAAACGTTGCCGAGACGGAGGCGGAAGGGTGAATTTGGACCTCGAGGACGGCGAGTCAGTTCGGGAGGCAAAGGCCGGTGAAGCGAGCAGGGAATTCAAGCTTCAGGCAGAAGTGAGGGTCCATTACACAAGGAGGATAACCAATTTTGTACTGGCCAAACATGTGAAAAACATCGAGAACCAATTTACAATGCCTTCTGAATGGTTGCTGCTTCAATATTTGAAAGATATTAAAAATGCCTTCTCCATGACTTGGATATATTCTGCATGATTTTGGGTATGCAGAACATATTTTCAACACATTTTACATGCTGTTCTGTCGAAAATATGGAGCACATTGTAAATTGGTTCTCAATGTCTTTTTCATGTTTGCCCAGTACAAAATTGCTTATCCTCCTTGTGTTAATATACAAAGCGGAATGGAATGAACACAAGGACCAGCGGCAGGTAAACATTACCGTTGCAGCTGGCCCGAGATGCGAGCAACGACCCCGAAAAGCGAAGTTCAGGCGCCAAACGCTGCCGCGGCGGAAGGTAGGTAAGCAGATAGCAGCAGCAAATCAAGTGTTGAAAAGAGGTTTCCGGGACAAGGGACCAGGGGCAGAGGTTAACGTTGACTAGAGCACATGGCGATCGCCAGGAAAATGACGAGAAAACTCAAGAAAAACTCATAAACCCGAATAGAGCCTCTGGCAATTTCTAGACCCCACTTTTTGCCCGTGCCGACTCACGTTCTCCCGAGTGGAATTTCGTTCTGCCTTGTTGTTTTCCGCCATAATTTCATCGCCATGGATAGACCTTGCATGGCGCGGCGCCGGCGCGTTACGCGTGGTCTTTGTGTGGTCTTTGTCCCCGGCCTTAATTTTAACACGCAGCTTGTCACTCACATTCGCTAGGCTGCACAATCTTGTACCACCACTGAAAAATGCGCCCCCGTGCTTATCAATCCGCCCGCGTGAGCCGCGCCCCTTCTACACCACGGCAAATAGCGAAGTATGCTATGTGAAAAAGAAAACATCGTTGTATTGGAACTCCCCACCCAACCAACGCCATGGCACAGAACACATTGCCTACACCACTACACTCGTCAGTTCATCAAGTCCACGGTAGTGGTAGAACAGACTCACTGCGATCTCGGTACCACTTCGGAGCCTCCAATACACCCAGGGCATTTTGAAGGGCGGCGATGCGAGACGGGCTGGGGGGTGTGGCCGGCAGGCCTCTTCTTGGGTTGGTGCTGGCGATGACGATAATGAGTACGTCCTCACCTTGCTTGACAACCACATCTACGTCGTAGTCCTGGTTGGCGAATCCGCTTTGGCGCATGACGAACATCAGGGCGCCTTCGAATGACGGATTGAGCTCTTTCTCTCCGTCGAATCCCCGATACTTGTGCTCCAGTGCGTACTGCATAACCTTTTCCTCGTCCGGAATATACCCGTAAATCTTGGGCCCGTTCCTCCTAAGAGCTCTTTTCTGTCTGCAAGCAATGAGCTGCGAAGCCGGGGTGAACTCCGGCGTACTCACTTGGCGGCGTTAACGTCCATGGCGGTTGATTGGCGGTTGATGTAAAGGAAGGGTTGGGTGCACGTGACCGTACAAATCCCTAAAGCATCACCAAAAAGCGCGCAGAATTATGATCGAATCACATGTGGTCGCAATCGGCAAAAACGGACCGCAAGACACTCGCAACTACCATAATCACTTGCAAGCATGCGCAATTGGATATTAGGGGCCCACCTATCTCGCAAGCGGCTTGTGCCTGGCTTGTGCCGCCGTTGTGTGTAACGTGCAAGATAGCCAAGAATTGCGACCAGCATGTAAGGAGCAGATGCAATCCTATAGGTCAGTGTCAGCAATTGGCCGGATTGTAATGCAATATTGCTTGTTGCAAGACGTCTGTATGCTCATGCCTCGGCCCGGCCAATTGTGGGAATAAAAGTGTATATTGCATAAAAAGGAATCAGATATATTGTATAAAAAATGGATCTAAACGAGCTCTATGGATTCGGCCCGGCCACGCCTGCGCGGCGATTCCTGCGACGCAGCATGCGCCGCAGCCGCCCTAGCCACGGCGGCCTGGGCAGCCATTTGCTCCGCAATGCTCAGAGAGCCATCTGCGCGCTTCGTGGGCTGAGAATTGTTAGCTTGAGTAAATATTTTCCTGTGTAATGCTGTCAGAAAACCAGCACGAGAAGCCGTTTGACACGTACTCGTTCCACCACATCAGAAGGTTTTTCTGGTCGGCCTCGGGCCACTTCTTGACGCTGCTCTGGAGGTACTTGAAGTACTTGCGATAGTGGAAGAGCCCGTTGCCGCCCTTGGCCTGAAAGGCGTTCTGCGAGGAATAGCAAAAATGTATCTAGAACAGACAGTGAGTTGCTTGGCGCACAGCTTGACATGATCACGTATGATGTGGGCCACATAACAGATGGACTCGAAAGTCGCCTCGGTGATGTCGTGCTGGGCTGCATTGCCTTTCATTTCCCTCAACATCGTGAGGCGCCGACTCCTGGTCCGCATCGTGCCCCTGATCCTGGGCAGAAATATGAAATTCTGAATATTGCCGCATCAGTGCCTGAAAATCAGTATCGACCTCGGCTGGAAAGTCTGCAGGTTGTAGATGACCTATACCGATGCCTAGATTGCGCATTATCATGTCTCTGTCGACGAATCTGAAACACATTAGCCAAAACGAAATATTGGCGTTAAAATTAAGAAAAGGTTCACGTAGTAATTGACCCAGTCACCGTCAGTGAAATCCCGCGTCGCTGAAGGACCTCATAAAGCAGTTGTTGTGCCCAACGCAAAGGCGGGAACGAGATGGCACGCTCGGAGGACGAGCGATGGATCCAGGAAGCCAAACACCTCGGTGTCGGTCTGTGGAACATAGCCGATACGATCCAGACGAAGATGGCTGGGGCCTGAATTCCAGTCGGGATCCCGGCCAAACTATCTCACCCATAGAAATTCAAAGCGACGGGGCGCACGGGCACCCGGGGGATAGACGTTGACATGGAATACACCCAGAACTCGGGCATACCAATACGGGTGCGGTGCTTGCCCATCCTCGTTGTCTTCATTCGACTTGACCATGACGTGACACCGGTCTGTGTGCGCATTAATGGTGTCTTGGTCTCGCCGAACATCGTATCTTGTGTAATTAAATGCGGCGGTAGCATGCCCGAATACGCGATTGTGCTGTATATTGACAGTGGCGAGTTGCTCCAAAGAAAATTGGGCTGTGTCCACGGACGAAATGTTGTGCATCCGACCATACAGATGCGCTTTCAAACGGGAGAGGAAATCCTAAAAGGGAATTAGACCAAGATGAGTAGGATTGTATCAATTACTTTGAAAGCAGGATCACCGGAGTTGTCAGTCAGCCAATCTGATAGATAGATTTTGCCCCCTTCATTGGTCGCAATGCGATGGTGCAGGTCCAACGGGATTGGATCCTGCGGACTGACTGGTGCTTGCACTGCTGGGGGCAAAAGGCTTGAAAGCTCCTGCTGCATTCGTTCGTGGGCTGTCTCGCGGACATCCATCTTGATAATCTGAGGAATAGGGTTATTTTTATTGGAGCGCCCGTTTCATCGTTTAACGATCCGATGCTGCAGCTCCCCCTGGTAGAATGTGAGTACAGTGATAGTGGCCAGGCACGAAAACTCACGATCGCGGTGCTGTAGGATCAGGTGCTTGATTATGCTCTTGAAATCCCCCAATTCAGTTTCGTGCATAAAATCTACGATGAGTGCATCAAATATGTCGAAATCCAGTCCATCGAGCCAGTCAGAAAAAGCATTCTAGGGTGGGCTTGATTCAACAGCAACAAGAGGAACTGGAGGATGACACGGACCTCGGTGGGTACAAGTGATTCAGGTTTCAAAAGATCGTTGACTTTCGTGCTGTTGACAACGTAGCCGTCCTCGTATATATACTTGCGAGCTTGGGAGACCTTCTCGCGCCGAGCGGCGTCATCACAACGAACCTGTTCTACTCGAACAGCAGCATCGGCGGGAGTGCCGAGATTAGGGATATCCTCTTTCACAATTTTGCAGCGAGGACATGGGCATTTGCCCATATCGCGGAGCGTGGCTATGAGCACCCTGGGGTTTAAATATCAGCACGACAAAGATGGAAAAAGAGTGGCTATACTTCTCGGGATAGTCTGCCGAGTAAGTAAATATCCGCGGATATACTCGGCGGCAAACCCCGTCCTTGCAATCCAGTACAATGCCATGTTTGTACGCTTCAACGAACTCATCGTCGAGGAGAAGCCTCCAGGACTCGTGGAAGAGTTCACGCCGGCAGTGGGCGAGCAATTGAGCACTTGCTCCCTTGCTTTCCTGGCGGATGAAGTCTTGTACGGTGTCGGGGAGCTGCAGATAACAGATTAGCGGGGAGAAACGAGGGGAATGAGCACGTACACTTTGGAGATATGCTACTTGTGATGATGCTCTGGCACTAGGCTAGGCGCGCGCGTATTTTGACTGATTACCAAAATAGGCATATATTGGCCAGAGCTTTGCCTGCCCGAATTGCGCGACATGGGTCGCATCGGACCAG